GCTTGCCGCTCCCGGAATTACTGGTTGTGGCAACATTTGCATGCCTTTGTGCTTGCAGTTTGGCAAATCTGCACCGAAGGCATTTAATTGCATTCCAAAAATACAATATTATTAGCATTGAGGGCTTAAGCGATTGAGCTTGAAGAGGATTTTTGGGAATTGCTGCATGGACATGGATAGCTATTTGGTTTGTTAGTGCACAGAATCCTTAACACGCACAACACCTTCAGCGAAAAAATTGCCAAAAATCAATAATAAATCCCGGCTACTTCGAACCTGTACTTTGTTATACTGAAATTAATAGAAAACAAAACTGTATACACAAAACCTTCTCAAGGAAATAAAAAGCTCGTCATGTTTAAGCAATTTTTTTTTTTTTTTTTTTAATATGGCACATAGTCCTAAACTTGGGTTTATACGGCTTTTGTTAAAGAACAAACTATATTTGTATAAAAAATACTAGAATTAAATAACAAAAATTAACTGTTACAATTTTTCAAAATGTGGTGGACTTATTATTTTGACATGGGGGTACATATATGTATATGTATGTATGTATGTATGACAAATTAGTATGGGCGCTGTTACGCTAGGCCTGCCATAATCCTGACCACATCACCAGGACACTTATCATTCAAATCAAAAACGAAGATATAAGTGAATATGGTTCCAATATATTCCCTATATGTAAGTACAGTGCTTTGGTTCTAATATTATAAGAAATGTAGTTTTGTGGCACAATCGCTAGAGCTGAATGAGTGATGATGATGTAAAGCAGGGATCACACGATTTGTACATTTGTACATTTGGCAGTCACAGAGTGGTGTTGTCTAGAAATTTTTATCGAGAATGAGAGGAGTTCAGTAAAAGCTTTCCAAACAACGCCACTCTGTAACGGAGAAAATAGCCAAATCTGTACAAATGTACAAATCGTGTGATCCCTGCTTAACGCTCTAGTTCTGAATTTGGTTTTATTATCAAAGAAAAACTTCTCGTGACGGTGACGTAACTTAGAAAGTGCATCGCCTTAAAGTATTATTGAATGTTTGCAAATTTCCGCCATATCATACAACGCGCTTCATGAATAATTTTTGCCATTTTGTGTATGTATAACCTGAAGATAATTTAGGTAGGATGTCTTAAGTGAAGCCATTCTAAAAGACTTATGCAACATGAACTGAAAAAAGTGCTTGCCTGCATGCTTCCCAGAGAGGTGTTTCCTATTTACATTTTACTTAGAATTACAAATAAGATTCAATAAGCATGTTAAGTATAAATAAAACTTTTTGATATGAACCTTAAATATATTCCCAAAGGTAGTACGAGTTTTATGAATTAAGAAAAACATTCAAAGAACTACTTCAAAAGGCGTCCTTTCTGGCAGATATTTTTTGAATAGCGAAAGCAGAGGCTCTTCAATTTGTGCCGCTCCATACAAAAAATTAAGGAGAAAGGAATAATTTTCAGAAAGGCATTTTGGATAAGATTTTATCTCCTGAAATTATCTACTGGGTAGTACTTGTCTATGACCCCTCAGCCGAGTACCTGATCAGAAACTTGCACTTTTTTGGCATTTTTCCGAAAACTAAATTTGATTTTAACCAATTAAACTAAACAGAAAAAGGGTAAACTCATCAGATGTTCAAAATGTGCGAAATAACGTTTCGTTATCAATTTTCGACTACTAATGACAGAAAGCTAAAATTTTTTTTCATATCAAAAATCTGCTAAAAATTGAAGAATTGGCTGGATTTACCTTCATTAAAAACCAGGAAAATTTAAGTATGGACCTGGACACCAGGACAATTTGTCTAAATCAGGACAAAACCTGGAAAACCAGGACCAACCGGTTCAAATTTGACAAGCCCGCTGAGACCGAATCCCTGATCAAAAAAGGGTTGGGTTTGTGAATATATGTAATTTACTATTTTTTCCTTTTAGTACGAAATTGAGTTTTTTTTCTTACTATTTCTCCTTTTAGTAGCAGAATGGTAAATTTTTACTGTACTTAATGCTAGCAACCTTTGTTTTGTTTCCTTTGGACTGGTTTTATACACATACCTACATATATATCCCTTCTGATCTTTTCGTCATTTCATAAAAATGAAAAAAGTAGTAAAAAATAGATCAAAGAAATACAACTGAGCCGAAGAAATACGCTGGTTATTTAACCCCCTGCATAGCAGAGAACAGCTTTGAGTATGATCGAGCCTTTTTGATCACACTCACTAAAAATCAAGCACAAGCGAACGCCACACTCGGCTACTATGTGTTCGATCGAGATGCATACCCGACAGCTGCTTTGGTTACGAACGAGTCTGTTCGATCACCCTCGCTATAAATTGAGCACAAGCGAACACCACACTCGGACACCCGCAGCTAACCCGAAAATTTGTGTAACAATGAAACGGACACCCGAACATTGCGATAAAATGCAGGACAACAAAGAAATTTACGCTGAAGGTAACTGGCGCCAATATGTTCCCACAAAGCATACGAAAATGTTGTTGCTTTGTGCTTGTGCATACGCAATGAAAAAATTAGAAGCGAAGTAGACAAAAATGTTTTTGCATGTATTTCGTATAGTTTCGCGTGGAAAGCTGTGTGTGTATATATTAGAACACAGCCTAAAACTATGTAGGTACATA